AGAAATGAGTTCAATGTTGTGCCTCCTTTGATAAGAAATTCGAATATGTAAACAACAGAATATGTCAACACCTTTTTCCGGAGATTCATGAGCTACCTCCAACAGACATGCTCTGAGCACTCATAGATTTTCCTGTTAAACAAACAAAACAGACACTGCAGAATTTAAAATTGAACCCAAAATGTGAAACAATAACATTACGATAGAATTGGTTCAGAAGAAAGCTAAAAGAAATGTTATTTATGCAAATAGGAAACAGAACCACATGAAATGAAAACGATCGGACAAGATTTTAAACTCTAGAATCGATGCAACGCCCTCAAGGTTATGAGAAAAGCTGAATCAGAACATTTTCCTTAAATATAAAACCGTACACTGGGTCTAAGGTTCCAAAGCCTAAGCTCAACTCAGCGTCTGAAACTAAAACACACTAAATTGCAGGAAATCCAGTAAACTAAGGAGTTCAATTGCAGTAAATGTCACACAAAAGAAAAAAAAAAATAAGCTGAAAAATTCCCATTTCACCGCTACAAACCCTCTATGGCAGCTGACAAAAAGTGAGCTAATTTAGCAAATTTACAGAAATTTCATGGAAATCCCGAGAACCCACTTGAGATCAAAATTGCCAGAAACCAATCTCACCCCAAAATCGAAGCTCAGGTTAACATGAACATTATTACAACAACCGAGGATTTAACTCAAACAAGACACTTCCTACTGATACTCCACAAGAATTGGGTGGAAAAAAAAATCATTTCCTTTTAACAAATATCTACAAAAGTTAGGGTTTTGACAATGGAAGGAAAAAACAAGAGACAGAGAGATGTGAACTTACACACTGGCTTGTGTCACGTTTAGCCTTACACAACAAATGGGAACCTGAAAAAAAGAAAAGCTTTCCTTTTTCTTTTAACCTTCCTCAATTTCTCTTAAGAAAAAAAAAGTTTAGGGTTTTCGAATTCAAGAATTAACGAAATCAGGGGAAGAGACAGAGAGAGAGAGAGAGTTAGGGAGAGAGAGAGAGAGAGAGAGAGAGAGAGAGATAAAGTGATCGAGATAGAGAGAGAGAGAGAGCAGTGCGGAAAAAAAAATTCAACGGCGAGCGAAGGAGGAGCATGATACAAACCAATATGAAAAGGAGTGGGCCTTCTTGGGCTTGGACTTTGCTTAGTGTTTAAGCCCAATTACCTCTTTATTGTCTAGTATTTAAGCTTTCTTCTTCTTTGTAATGGTTTCTTTAAGACTAGAGTCAGGTTGGGACACAAATTGGGATAGATAGACAAAAGAACTAAGACAGACGATATTGTCTTACGTTGAAAGACAAGAAAAGAACATAAAGGATGAGTGGATAAATAGCCTCAAGAGAAGATTCGGAGAAAACTATGACCGAGCTTAACAGAGCAAAGATCAGGAGAAGATTTGACGAAATTTTACCAAATGATGATGCTGGAGATTGTGGTGGCGTTCCTGTGTTTAATTTTTGGAATATCTTTACATTTGGTAAGATCCAGACACGATAGTTTTGGTACTTGCAATGTTGATATGAACACAGAGAAGACGTCTGAGGAGCTTGTGGAGATGTTTAAACGCGAAGTATTGCTAAAGGTATAATCTTCCTAACTCTTTCCGTATATATATATATCTTAGGCTCTAGTTTAGCTTCTGATATGTTTCTGCATATTAACAGAGATTGCTCATAATGGAACTGATCTCTTTAAGCTCCCAAGTTTCCCCAACCCGGCAACAACCGTTGGTCAGATGAGCTTTACCATGGAGAAGTTGATCATCTCACCAAATGTTCTTTATATTCCATGGAAGTATCTGAACCAGTTCTCCCCAGAGTAAAAGAAAATAATATTCGTATTCCTTCTTTATCACATACCAACCAGCCAACTGCAGAAATTTTGCAGGTGTGTGAGATTTGATTTGACTCAAGAAAATGCTTTCTGCTTTCATCATATCGTAAATTTTTAATACTTCTTCTCACCCTACAGATTTACTTGACAACTTGGCTTGCAGAGGTAAACATTGAGACTCATAGGTCATATATTAACAGCTTCTCCATTGTCATTCCCGGATTCTACTCTTCTGAGCACATACTAATTTCTTATGAACCATTGTTGCGTATTTGTTACAGGGTGGATGGGATATTTGATTTGGTAGGGGAAGAAATTAGAATTGCCTTCTAAACCTCGAACGCTGTTCCAGCTTCTAGTTAAGTTTCAGTGACTTAAAGCATAAATGATTTGACAAAGTACTCAATGACTTAAGAGAGAGGTCTTTAGAATCTTAGCTGTGTCAAACTTTCAACAATTTTGCTATATTGTGTTTACTGGAAACCATATGTGTTATTACCTAGTCCGGGTACTTTACTGAGCGATGTTTCTTTACTAAAGTATAGAAAGGGATTTGACTTACAATATTTGTGATTATGCATACAGTAATGCTACATATTTCGTAGAAAATCTCTGAGGTTTTAGCAATGGAGGCCTTCACTGTTCTCGGGATTCTGACCAACTTACTCGTACCCACCCAAAAAATAGAAAGATTTTGCGACGAGAGATATATGACAGCAATGAAAAGAGAAGATTGGCCAAAAAGTAAATTTATGGATCCATCAATAGTTAGAGAGATAGACATTGTACCCTGTCTGGAATATTCTGAGGCATTGGAGCTATGGTAACATATCTTTGAGGGTGTAACCTAAGCGAATTCATGGTCCGGTCAACAGATGAGGCTGGTGGGTGAAACTTCGCAAAACGATTGATCACTGCAAACCTCTCTAGGTCCTGGACTTCAACTCTCAAGTCTGGAATTGTAGTACCATTTTCTAGCCTGCAAGAAGACCAAATCTCCATGAGATCAAGCAAGCCAAATTGAGTACTCAGTTCAAACTGGAATTAATTTACAAGAGAGATCTATGGTTTTTACCCTGCAAACCCAGTCTCTAGTTTCCGCGTTCTACTAATGAAATCTTCAGCTGCTTTGGAGATGTACTGGTCACTGATTTTTTCAGTTTTTCTCTCAGAAAACCTACATAAGAGTGGATTGGTTCATTTCAATACTCCGCATCAAGCTTTGGAAAATCTCCAGCATTTCAAGGTCAAAAAGAAAATATCCTTACAGGTTTGAATCGTTCGGAGGCGAAAAGCGCTCACTCGTGTTAGTACTACTGGAGCTACATGCATCTCCCAACGCAGCTCTTGCAGCAGTGTATGCAACAAACTCATAATCTGAGCTAGCAACCAAAGATATCACCCTAGCTGGAGGCGGGCTAAATAGTTGTTGCATGAGTTGTGTTGAATATATAAGTCTTCTCTTTGATCTGATTGGTGAGCTATCCTCAAGTAAAGTCTCAAATTCCACCTGGGAGAACATAAGCAACTATTCAACAACTTTGTACAAAGAGCAGCGTAAAACATGTAATGAGGAAACTCACTTTTTCAGCCAATCGATAAGTTGCTCTGGCCCAGTTAATCTCGTTCTCACTGTAAAGAATATACATATAAAGTTAAATACGGCAATAGGTATGAAAAAGAACTAGGAATATCAGTGCTCATTAAGCCACTCACCTGAGCGTCTTAAGCCTCTGAGGATCCTGCATAACTACTTTATTCCAGGATAAAAGTTCTGATGTGGCAGCTTTGCGCTTCTTTGGTTTATCAACATTTAAATGCATGTCAGTAGCATCATGAAGCAATGATTCAGCAGATGAGGGAACCTTTACTCCTGGTGCGGAGCCTGACATTTGCTGCATATTAAATTGCTTTGATGATTGAATAGAATGTGTACCATCAACCAAGCTCCCAACATTAGAAAATTGTTCTCCGATCTTTAAGGGATTTAATCTCCCTTTATCATTCACGGGTTGCACCAGTCCATTCTTGAAAGTACCATATTGACTATACCAGGATGGAGCCATCTGAGGACTGATTTGTGGATGATCTGCTCCAGCCGAGGCTGCATAGTTCTTAGTGGAGGAATTCTGAGAAAGAGTTTGGTCAAGATGGGGCATGTGGTTCGTTATGTGATTATACCCATCTCTAACTAAACCATCAGACCTTGAAGGTGATTGTTGTTCCCCTTTGGGAGCTACCTTTTGAGAATCAACAGCACTATTCTCAACTCTCTTCATAGTCATCTTGGGTGCATCGCCCTCCCCACTTCCACCCATTTGTTCATCGTGACATAAGCTTACCTTTGGAAGGTTGTTTGAAGGAAGAGAGTGGTCAAAGGATTGATGATTGGCCTGCACTATACTGGAGAACATCGGACCAACATCAGATGTTTGTTTTGCACCCGTATCTTCACTCTGTAACTCATGCATATTCACCATGTCTCTCCCACTTAAAGGCAAGTCTCCTCCATTTTGGGAAGATAATTGATTAGTCTTCTCCTGCCTTGAGAAGGTAACTGCAATGTTGTTGCTGGGCAATGGATGTGGCCGTAAAATATCTGACTGAGGCTTAGATGGCTTGTTCCAAAACCGATGTTGCAGAGCTGAAATACCAGCTGGTGAGTTAGACATAATACCAGAAAAGTAACTTTGTTGAGGCGAACTGGATACAACCACAGGCTGAGAAGCAGACAGCATAGGAAATCCTTCGGCTAAACCTCCTTTTATGTTGTGGGTTGTAGGATTCATCAGGGAAGGTATTTGTGCTGAATGTCCACGTTGATCAAAGTCACTACTCTCATCTCTTTCTTTAACTTGAGGGGTAGAAAACTCAGATGATGATTTGACTATTTGATTAGCAGCTGATTGTCGAGTAGCAACAGGCATCTGTTGATTTTGGTTGTACCCTCTGGAATAAGGGAAACCAGAGGTTATGTTGGATCCTCCTAGGATTCCAGGAAATGGTCCCTGATGAGTGGATTGCTGAGGAAAAGATTGATTAGACCCCCATGGAGCAAACCGTGATTGACTTGTTCCTCCTTTTTCAGGGCCATTATGTAACGAATTCAATGGCTGGAAAGAATTCCGAGAAAACTGTATGTTATCAGGTGAGGGAGCTAATTGAGATGGAGGTGCCAGCTGTAGATTAAACCCCTGAGAAGCAGAAGACTGATTATGCCGGAACTGACCACTATAGTCTGCAGAGGTATTTGCTTCTGAAATACCAATAACATTTGTTTCCGATGAATTCTCTGGTGACTGGTCCACCTTGTGAAGAAGCTCAAGCATAGTCTGCCTGCACAGGAAAAAAAGTTAAGAAAGGCAATTGCAAAGCACGGATTGCAACCAATTAGGGAATAAGAGCTACTTAATGACCAGTGTCAGAGATCACACCTAGATGAAAAGTAACGAGCATATGAGAGTTTAAGGTGACATAGTTAGGTAACTCTGTCAGTTACTTGACAAACCATCTAAAAAATGAAGTCATACTAGCTATATAACTTCAAAAATGCGTTCAAAAAGAGAATAGTGTAAGCAAACATAATTTTAATTTAAACTTTTTCAACCAAAAGAACAAGTACCTTGACGAAGTACTCTTCACTTGATTATACCTATCAACACTTCTGTCGGCTGAAGCAGATGTACTAGGTGAATTATCTGATCCCATGCCATTAAAAGCCTCATTTGTGCAATTCAACTCGTTTTGTGAAACATGTCCCTACCATAAAAAAAAACCAAAAGAATGTTCAGAAAAAATTCAAATTTCTAAAACATAGCATGATTAAAACCAACTGATAAAATTTACCCCGTCTATTCGCATGTTCATAGCCGGCTGACCAAGAGACTTGGACTGCCCAAAATACCCTTGGTTTCCTACAGAACCCTGCTCCAATGTGGGTGACAGATGAGAAATCTTTTCATGACAAGACTCATTGGTGACATCAATATTACCCATGGGATGAAACTGAAATTTGTGACTTATTGAAGGCCTACTACCAACGTGGCCAGATTGTGCGTCTCTTCCACTAGGCAACAGAGAAAAATCACGGGCATTCACCGTTTCATTTGACCCACTATTATTACTCGTATATGGCTCAAGAATCTGACTGCCGTCTCCAGATTTCAGTTGAGGGATATTTCCCTGAACATCCCTCAAAGCATTAGAACTGTTTCCTGCCCCGGCAATGCTGAGTCCGTAGCTATCCCTTTGCGGTTGTGGATTTTGTGTGGAGTGATACTTAAGTTCAACCTGAGCAGCTATATTTTGATTAGACGTAGCCTTCCAGATACCAAATCTATCTTCAATGTTCTCATTATTTTGAATAGAACACGGATTATTCTGTTCATCAGTACCAGAACTAGAAGAATTAAATATATTTCCAGTCATGTGACTAAGTTGAGCCATTGGCTTCTCCAATAGGCCATGATCTGAAAATTTATTTCCCTTCCCAGGCAAATGTTCAACAGCTGCCCGAGTGGAATCACTCTGGAGTCTCTTACTTGGTACGTTTGAAGCCTTTGCAGGCAAATCCTGGGCTCTACTGCCAGTATGAGAATTCGTATGTGTGCCAGTATTGTTGTTAGTCCATCCATGTACTCCTGCGTCATCACTGGATGTTTCTGCTACAGCAGATTGCATAAGAGCACTCCAACTCCCACTTTGCAAGGACGGGCATGCGTCAAAAAGGTCAGAACTACTGGAGATAAGATTTCCTGTCAAGCTCATATCAGTGCTGTTTCCAAATGCCTCCCACAAATTGTCATCCGAACCAAACAGAAACTTTTCTTCAGTGGGATCTAATGTTGAAGACTTCTGCAATGCATTATTTTCAGGCACTTTCATAGATGAATTTTCTAATGTTTCAGAACCCTCCATCTGACCAATTTTCTCCTGCACTGAAATACTCCTCTCGCGGGAATCATCTTGCTGGAAATTTTCGAAATCGGACCTATTATTTGAATCTGGAACTGATGTATGGGAGAATAATACTCTATCCTGGTATGTGGATTTAGGGAGCATATGACTGTCCCGTACATCACCTTGATTCAGAAATGAAGTTGGCTGATTTGTGAGAGAGGAACTCCTGTTTGCAGAACCATGCTGCGCAGCTAACTTGTTCATCTGAACGGAAGAAAGGGCATTCTGAGGTGCATTTGTCCCAGTAACGGGCATACCGTACAAGGAAGGTTCAAATTGTGGCGCCTGGCCGTGCTCATGGTTAATCATGACCGTACTGGATGAACCTTGAACAGCTGGCGAGATGCCGCGATGCATCCAGTTTGTATTTCCTGTCATAGTACCAGGCTGCCAACAATTACTAGACGCATCCTGAAGAGGAATGCCATTAATCAACGGATGAGATTGATTATCACTTGAGCGACTTCTGTTGACAGCATTTAAATTCAGAGAATTGAGCTGCCCGGCCTCTAGCTGTTGCTTTTGAAGATGTTGTTGTATTTGATATTCATGCATTTGCTTAGCCATAACTTGCTGCTTTAGTAGTTGCATATCATTGAATGTCATCTGCTGCCTTGGCAAGGGATGGAGCATGCCAGGGAGCTGTGTGCTTAATTGCTGTTGACCACCAAAGAACTCATAATTAACCGGAGATTCTTCCATCTCAAACCTCATAGGACTTTTACGGAGTTCTGGGGTAAAGCCCCTCGCTGATAACCTATCCCTACTAGATTCTACATCCATTCCCAAAAAATGTGCCCCATTTGGCATTGTCGGCAACCCAAGATTCCCATGCATGTAACCATTTGCGAGTTGTTGGTGTTCTTGCAACAAACTTCTAGAGATCTCGGACCTTACAGGTTGCTGAGTAAAATTCAAACCATGCTGTGAATTTGGTTGACTTCTCTGAGGATCAACTGGAGTAAGAAAGAAAGCGATGTTTAAAAGCTAACAACATATGTAGTTATGAATGAGTAGAAGTTGTGGAATTCCTTGTCATAAGGAAAAAAAATCCATACCAGAATGTTGCGTGTTATAACTCTTCAGATTGGCAATAAGGGATGGGTCTATCTGCCTCTGGTTGCTGACTAAACCATTACTAAAACCGGACCAGCTTCCGTCAACAACCTGAGGCTGGCGCTGGTCTTGGGATAGGCCTTCCTGTCCAAAGAAATTGTGGATCTTCTCCCCAAATTCGTTTCCAGGCATAGATTCAGCTCCTATAAATAATAGTTATATATGTCTGGATTGGAAAGGAAAACAGAAATGAGTTCAATGTTGTGCCTCCTTTGATAAGAAATTCGAATATGTAAACAACAGAATATGTCAACACCTTTTTCCGGAGATTCATGAGCTACCTCCAACAGACATGCTCTGAGCACTCATAGATTTTCCTGTTAAACAAACAAAACAGACACTGCAGAATTTAAAATTGAACCCAAAATGTGAAACAATAACATTACGATAGAATTGGTTCAGAAGAAAGCTAAAAGAAATGTTATTTATGCAAATAGGAAACAGAACCACATGAAATGAAAACGATCGGACAAGATTTTAAACTCTAGAATCGATGCAACGCCCTCAAGGTTATGAGAAAAGCTGAATCAGAACATTTTCCTTAAATATAAAACCGTACACTGGGTCTAAGGTTCCAAAGCCTAAGCTCAACTCAGCGTCTGAAACTAAAACACACTCAATGCAGGAAATTTCAGTAAACTAAGGAGTTCAATTGCAGTAAACGTCACACAAAATAAAAAACAAAAATTAGCTGAAAAAATCCCATTTCACCGCTACAAACCCTCTATGGCAGCTGACAAAAAGTGAGCTAATTTAGCAAATTTACAGAAATTTCATGGAAATCCCGAGAACCCACTTGAGATCAAAATTGCCAGAAACCAATCTCACCCCAAAATCGAAGCTCAGGTTAACATGAACATTATTACAACAACCGAGGATTCAACTCAAACAAGACACTTCCTACTGATACTTCCCAAGAATTTGGGTGGAAAAAAAAATCATTTCCTTTTAACAAATATCTACAAAAGTTAGGGTTTCGACAATGGAAGGAAAAAACAAGAGACAGAGAGATGTGAACTTACACACTGGCTTGTGTCACGTTTAGCCTTACACAACAAATGGGAACCTGAAAAAAAGAAAAGCTTTCCTTTTTTCTTTTAACCTTCCTCAATTTCTCTTAAGAAAAAAAAAGTTTAGGGTTTTCGAATTCAAGAATTAACGAAATCAGGGGAAGAGACAGAGAGAGAGAGAGAGAGAGAGATAAAATGATCGAGATAGAGAGAGAGAGAGCAGTGCGGAAAAAAATTCAACGGCGAACGAAGGAGGAGCAAAACCGAGGTTCGGGTACCGGAGGCTCGGGTCCAAAGCAGTTGGTTCGTTAGATTTTGAAACTCTCTTCCGAAGGCAGAGGGTTCATAGACCCAGAGTTGTTGTTCTAGTGTGGGCCACTGATAAGACCATTACAACCAAACCCACCTAAACACCTATACGACATCGTTTTGTCCGTTTTTATTACAGGATTAAATTGCAATAGTTTCCCACCTTGTGTAATATATAGCACAAAATACGATGGGATTAAATTTCAAATACAATAGTAATTCCCACGTTCCATGAACCAACCATGAAAATGGGATTCATCATTCATGTATCTTAGATTCATTTACGTAAATACAATATATAGCAAGAGAGAGTCAGAGACACAGCACTTTGACATCTTTTTTAGTAATGCTGATTGGTAAATGGCTCGAGACCTCGAGTCCAGCTGCAAAACCCTAAACTTGTGACAAACTATCTCAAAAGAGTTAATTGCTGAGATAGTTCTTGGAGTGGGTTCACTTCACTTGCTGTAGAGTTTCAGTCTCTCCTTTGTTCTGTTTCGGCTTGTAATGATTAGAGTTATCTTTGGCTCCATGGTTTTGAAGGGACCAATTTTACTTAGAAAAGTCTCTCATACTTAAAAGTGTAGTGATGATGATGACATTAGGGCTGTCCAAGACGGGTTAACTCAGCGTGTACTGTGTGCCCCATACCCATTTGGATTTCCCCCTTTTTATAATCTTTTTGTAAAAATTACTCATTCAGTAATACCTACTGGACACTGTACAGTTACAGTTCTCCAAACAAAAACAAGTTTTTTTATTTTGTTTTGTAATATCTAGTTTTTTTTTATCTATATACAAATTAAAGTCCTGAAACAAATATTTTTATTGAATTGTCTAGTTATCTTGTTTTTGGCTTTGTTCTAAGACTATATTATTGACTTATATTGTTAAAGAGTGCGTGCTAGTTGTAGAAAGAAAATGAGAGAGGGGGAGATAGAAAGAAGAAGATACGAGAACGAGAGAGATGCTATATTACAAAGAAACCTTTTTGGTCACTATTTTGTTGACAGTCCCCGCACAATATGTACACATCTTCTGTGTCACTTCTCTCGGCTCCATGCTCCAAGAAACAACGAAGTTTTTTTGAGTAAGTAGCTGTAGATTATCCTATTGCAGAAAAACTACCGTCACCCAAGCCTGCCAACAATGATGGTTTCGGCTCAACAAAAACTGGATTCTGTAAAGGTTGCGCCAGTTTAGGCTTTAGGGTCTTATACTAGGTTTTTATATATACAACGACAAAAACGCTACGTACCTTTCTATGATATATTCTCCAGCTATTATTATATTAATGCAAGTTCAAAATAAGTAACGCTTTTCGTCCAAAACTTTCTAATGTCTAGACTCTAGAATATCCATCTTTGTTATAGAAAATTAAATCCTAGTATCAGTCAAGTTATATTTTTTCTATGTTGTTAGTCTTTTTACTTATGCAATCACCTTCCAAGATTACTTCATTACAAATTTTAATTGGTTGTAAACAAAAATCTTCATGTAAAAAAAAGATCTAACTGTGACGGATGATTCGATTTTCACATACAAATTCAACCAAATTTCTGAAACTGAGGTAACGTATCATAGCACACAAAAAATAAAAAAGAGAAAACGATATAAAATATTTATATATATTAAACATAAAGAGTTCAACAAGATAGAGAGATCAGAGAAACATGTAGACTCTAAAAGATAACACTAACTAAAAGACAAAACTCACACACATCAAAAACCAAATCCAAACCTAAACCTTTCCTTGTTTTCAATTGGATTTGGTTCGGTGTCTGAGTCTTTTCTTTTCCATCCTAGTTCCACGTTCACCATCGCATACACTTTTATTATGCATAACCGTTAAATATATAATAAGACTAAACCGAGCTCATTGGTTCGGTGCATTTGCCAACCATTTTGGTTTGAACCACGTTCTTCCCACCTCTTCTTGCTGGGCTGAAACATACTGCACAATACGCCTCATCCGGATATGCCATATTCTGGAAGCGTCTCACCAGCTCATCTTTTCCCTACGCAAGTGTTACAATACGGTTGGTATAAGATAACGTATGCAGATATGTGTATATATACGTAAGAGGTATAGGAGTGGAGACTAGCCTGAATCCTAGCAGAAGTAATCTCGAGCACTTTTGATGAATGGAAATGGCTCCACTGCTTCTGGTTACAAGCAGCCTTAAACTTTGGCACTGCTTTTGCATTTGTAAAGTTCACGAATGCATACCCCTTGTTCATTTTAGTCCTGTATGATTTGGTACCATTCATTTGGGTAATGTTATGATCAAACAGGTAAGACTAGTTGTTATATTACAAAATACATTCATGAAAGCAAAACAAAAATTAAGTTGATAAGCATATATATTCAATGATTATCGATAATGAGATAAATAAAACGATTAGTTGTAAAACCTTATAACTTACTTGAAGTCTACAGGGACATACAAGAAATCATACGCAGAGATTGGTGACTCTTCATTTTTATCACTTTCGTTAGCTTCATCACAATGCTTATCCATGTAGTCAATCATCATCTCTCGCCTGCAAATGTTGTTAACCATTGATAAAGTTTCCGAAAATCATCACCGCAAATAAAAAACTAAGCTAAATAACACGGTCTAAAAGCTAACATATATATAATTAATCTTCTGGTTATGAAGGAATTATAATTAGAGACTAATATGAAGTTACGCACGTGTATCGGTTTGGTATGTTACGAAGCATGACGGTAGTGATGTGTTCGCCATTAGATTCAAGTTCGTTTGATGTCTTCTTAGCCGATGTTACCTTCTTACCTCGTCCATAGCTTCTCCGGCTAAAAAACCTCTTGCTACTAGTCGGTGGAAGAGTGAGCTCGTGGCTAGGGTTTGGGGGAAGTTGTTGTGTAGGCACAAACCGGTTCGTGTTAGGGTGAATACACCAAAGAGGGTAATACACCCATATAGATGGAGGAGGGAGGTGAGGGAGGATGCCGCCGGAGATGAAGTATATGGACGGTGGGGCACAGAAGTAGTAGCTATTGTGAGGAAGGAAGAACTGTGACGTTGGGTGCGGAGGTTGTCTAGCAAAGACGGTGACTTCGTCGTTCTCCGGAGCCGGATCATCGGAAGAAGAAGAAGCCATTGGAGGTAGTTTAAGTTGCGGAGAGAAGAAAGTGGTGTAGATGTGTTTGGCTGTGTATATATATTACTATTCGGTAATAAGAAACAGATTTGATATGTCTAAAGAAGAGCCGATGACGATGTCTACTACTACTCTCAGCATCATAATTTCATTTTGTCAGTAAATATGTACCGTCCGATTTGGTTTACTTTTGTTTATTTACACTTCTTTCCAGCCTCGAGATCCGTGAGGCGCAGTACATTAACCTAGCTTCGGCGATATGACTAAAAAAAATGATTACATATATTTTTTTTATTTTTTTTATTTTGGCTTAAGAAGTGACTAGTGTTGAAAAAGAACAACGTAACAGATTGATTCAGTACTCCCACTTTTGCCCTACTCAAAATCTATGGTATTACATACTAGATTTTCCAAATCTTTGGTGATATATATATATATATTGCTGTACCTGTGCTCTAAGTGTCCATTTTTTGAAGGGACATCTAAACTTTGACTTTAGGTCATGGCATATTTTTTTTTGTAATAACAGAAGGTTGTTAAGAGATAGTCTATTAATTAGAAATGTCAAAACTCGAAACTGTAGAGTTCATACATGTTGTTTTATCTATATGAAAACAGTTTTTTATATATAAGAAAATTATCTGAATGTACATGCAAATTGCGGTTTTAAGATATTTTTAAAATGATGTAAGTCGTGTTTTATACATTTCATACATAACTGGGTGTCATGATATGATGATAGTCGTGTCGATATTTGTGATGGAAATGTTCCATATTGAACCGAGCTAATGATAGCGCGATGAAGAAAAAGTAATAAAACCATCATGACTTAGATGGTTAGAGCACGTTAACTATGTATGCAAACTAGTAAATACATTTTTGCAATTTTTTGTTTTTTTGAATTGTAAAAAACTTATCAGTTCGATGGTAAAACATTGTCTTATATACTTAAATATAAATAGTACAGTAACTCATAAGTTTGTTAAAAAAAAAAAAAATAGTAACTCAAATATATATTACTGGTAAAGTGCGCCACTCGATACAATACAGCAAGCACGAAATTACCAACCATGGGAAAAGAGCATGTTTAGGAGTTGAACTTTTGAACTACTACAAGACTGTAGAGGATTAGATAGTTCGAAGATGAGTGAGACATATTTGATCCAAAGGTCGAGCATATATGTTAATAGTAGGAGAAAGCTGACATATACTTTTCAAACTCATGCCGCAAAGCTCTTCACACGTTGTGGTGATGGGGGACTTTGTTTGGCTTTTACTTGGACAATCTATTTTAATGTACCACCTACAGTATGCCCAAAACAATTATAAGAATGTGTGTTCTTGAATCTGTTTGTTAAAATTTGTTGATAAGATATACTTTTAAAATCATAATTCCATAAAATATAACAATAAAATGTATTGGCTTGAAAATCATATTAACTTACACATCAACACATGTTTTACTTACTAAATGTTAATATGACAGTCAAATAAGGGCATATCAACATATCTAATTTATTCGCCTAGGTATTTTTTGCCATTTACAAAAATTCATGTGACAAACCCATACAGTCAAAACATTTGGGGTGTAAGTACTAAGTAGGCATGTCAATTAGGGTTAAAGCCCGCGTGATAGTTTGGCCCGGCCCTGAAAAACATAGCGCTCGGGCTTAAATATATATGTTCAGAAAAAACCGGGCCTTTTGGGCTAAGCCCATTCGGGCTAAAGGGTTTTTTGGGCTTAGCCCGGTCGGGCTCGGACCGGCCCGAAAAGCCCTTATACAAATATATTTTGAATTTTTTGAATATTTTAGTTTGATTAAAAGATTTGATTAATGTTATACTTTTTATATTTACTTACTAGTCTTACTTATTACTTTTAAAATCTTTATACAAAGCTAAAACTAAATATATATAAGTATCATGATTTTGAAATCATCAAAATATCTATTAAAATTTGACTCTATCTTATACTTTAAAGTATTTTAGTTCCATGTTTTATTGGGTTAAAGTGTAAATAGTTTATTTGGCTTTTATTTTTTTCTCTTAAATTAAGTTAGTTTTATTGAATATTGATAAATTATTTAAAATTTGATGCATTATTTTTATAGTAGACCTTTAAATATAGTTTTTTAAAAACTATTATGAACTTAGAAATTGATTTTTTTATCGGTAAATAAAGCCCAAAAAAGCCCGAAAAGCCCTGTAGCCCTGTTAGGGCCGGGCCGGGCTTTGAAATATAGGTTCGGAAATTTTTTGGGCCGGGCCGGGCCGGGCTCACATATATGAGGGCTTTACGGGTTTCGGGTCGGGCCGGGCCGGGCTATCCCGATTGACATGCCTAGTACTAAGTAGTAATGATATAGAAGAAGAAAAAAAAAACAATTATTCTATTTGTAGTACTCTATTTTTTTTTTTTTTTATGTTTTTCAAGTTAAATCAGTCAAGTAAAAGAATTACTAAAGATGGAAAATATTCTCCTAAATTTTCCCTCTCTTATTTTTGTCCTTTTTTTTTTGTTTTTCTTGTTCCAATATCTTACCAAATATCACAATTCACACACATTGGATGAGAAGCCATGCCACAAAAACCAGATTTGTTAGATTTCCTTTTTTTTAATTTATAAGAAAAAAGGAAAGAAAGAATAATTCACATTGTTTTCTTTTTGTTTTCTATTTTGTAAGTGGGTCAATGTCATAGAAGCTGAAGGGGTAATTCCAAAATCGTGCCATGACAATAATGGGCCTCCTGGGCCCTTTGCCGACACTAAAAGGTTCGAGCCACGTGGCTATCTGAAACTCGAGATTCATCATTTATCCTACGTGGCCGAGCCGTGTAAAACGGATGCCATAGATTAACCTTCTTCTTCGCCCAGAATCTTTCTCTTTCATAATCCATAATTATTTATTTTATATAGTCCGATCGAATAAATCAAAACTTAGGATTTTAATTATTAATATTATAAAAACTCGAGAGAAAGAGAGAGAGAGAGCAGCATCTCTGCTTTTTCAAAATCACAAAAGGAAAAAATAAAAAAAGTCTGGATTTTGGGAATTTTTTTTTGTTTTGTGGAGTAAAAAAGCTTCGTGCTTGGTGCGTTCGATTCTGGTTTCTTTTGTCTACTTCTCATCGCTTTGCTTCCTCGATCTGTCTAGGGTTTCTCTCTTATTTGATCATCTCTTCTTCTCTATCGCCTTTGGAGGTTAGGGTTCCCCTCCCCTTTTATTTTATATTCCAGACTACAATCTTTTGATTTCCATTGGATTTTTGCAGTTTGTGTCTACTTTTTATTGGAGATTTTGGAATTTTGTGATCTGAGTTTTTTTTTTCTTACTTGAGCTCATTTTTTCTTTTTGGTTTATAAATGCAAGCTTAAAGGTTTGTTTTGCTCTTATAATATTGCCGGATGGAGAGCAGAGTATGTGTATCAAACATAGGAACTTGATCAAGTTTTATATTGGTGTTGTCCAAGCTTCATTGAGATTGTTTGATTGAAGTCTGAATCTGAGTCAAATACAATTAATTAAGTTTAGAATCTGACTAAAGATAATGGCTAAACAATTATACTTCTACTAGTGAGCTTTTCTTTATGTTTACACTTTTCATCAAAGTGGATTTCTGCGATGCAATGTTTCTTATGAAAACTGTTGTTTCTAACGTGTTTATATGGTTGGGTGACAGGTACTTTTTTTTTTTTGACATATAGAAGAGTTTTTCATTCTTATATAGTTGAAGTGTGGTCGTTGTCGTCTGCCATATAGCTTGTTCTCAGTGTATCCATGTTTGATGGATGATGAGGATATGGAGTTTGCTGAAGCATATTTTATGACCTGTGTGTGGACCTGATCAAGACAGGAATCTTGTGGGGCTTCTAGTCGGCTTGGAACTTCAGGGGTTTCCATACTTGTAGGGTTGCAATATAGATAAATGGAGGACGATGGAGAACTGGGGATGTTCTTTCCTAGTTGGAACAGCAAGAATCCAGTTGACTCGGTTGAGTCTCGCGGTTTAATGTTCTCTTGTTTTGTTGCTGCCCTTGTTGGTATTTTGACCATCGCCTACACTGCTTTTCAATGGCGAAGAAATATCAACTTAAGTTGGACAAAAGCCATAGCCAGGTCAAAGAAAAACCCAAAGGCACGACATACGGTTCCTGTTGCCCCACATAGCTGGGAAGTCGACCCTATATCTCGTGCAAAAAACTTAAACTGTTGCGTATGCTTCAAGTCTATGTCGCCATCGCAGGCAATTGTAGCTTCAGAAAGTTATTTCCACAGGTGCACAATCTGTGGAGCAGCAGCACATTTTAACTGTTCTTCAATTGCGCATAAAGATTGCAAATGTGTCTCCATGATTGGATATGAGCATGTGGTGCACCAGTGGGCAGTGCGGTGGACGGAAGGGGCTGATCAGCCTGATGACTCCTCGTTTTGTAGCTACTGTGACGAGTCATGTAGTAGCTCTTTTCTTGGAGGTTCTCCTATATGGTGCTGCTTGTGGTGTCAACGTCTTGTGCATGTTGACTGCCACAGTAACATGTCAAATGAAACAGGTGACATTTGTGATTTAGGCCCGCTTAGAAGGTTAATATTGTGCCCTCTCTACGTTAAGGAACTGACACGGAATCCCTCTGGAGGATTTCTGAGCTCTATCACTCATGGTGCTAATGAACTTGCATCAACCGCCCTTGCCAGTATTAGGAGTCAAAGCAAAAAATATAAGCAAGCTAATGAAACTTCAGCTGACACAGGTAATAGTGGTAGCAATTGCGATGAATCGACAGAAAGCACAGCTGACACAGGTCCAACTGTTAACGGCTCCCATGCTATGCTTGAAAATTCTATCAGTGTTATGAATGGGGATTCTTCTCACGGGGACAGTGACAGTAATGGCAAGCTGGAAAAGAAGCCAAGTGTTAAGAGAAGCGGGTCTTTTGGTCAGAAGGAATATCTGGCACTAAGGTCGAAACTTAAGTATGAGCTAACTGATTTGCCTTCAGATGCAAGACCGTTGCTGGTTTTTATTAATAAAAAGAGTGGTGCTCAACGAGGTGATTCTCTTCGTCAACGCCTTCATCTTCTTCTAAATCCTGTGCAGGTAGAGTTCATTACAGACTTATACCTGTTGACAATTCAATGCATTTTCATAATATGTGGTCTTTAAGTTTATTGATGGAGCCATTTCTTGCAGGTTTGTGAATTGAGTTCAGTGCAGGGACCAGAAGTGGGACTTTTCCTCTTCAGGAAGGTTCCTCACTTTAGAGTTCTTGTTTGTGGTGGAGATGGTACTGCTGGTTGGGTTTTAGATGCAATAGAGAAACAGAATTTCGTCTCTCCTCCTGCAGTTGCTATTCTGCCTGCTGGAACCGGGAATGATCTATCCCGAGTTTTGAATTGGGGTGGTGGTTTGGGTTCTGTTGAGAGACAAGGAGGCTTGTCTACGGTACTACAGAACATAGAGCATGCTGCAGTCACTGTCCTTGATCGTTGGAAAATATCGATTTTGAATCAACAAGGAAAGCAACTCCAGCCGCCAAAATATATGAACAATTATATAGGTCAGTTAAATTCAAAACCTCTAGGTGATACGAAGCTTTGCTTTCAATATTGTTGTGATTATTTGTGAGGTTGCTAACCTTTGAAGTAGTGGGGATGTTTAATTTGTATTCAACCTATCTGAATTCAGTTCCAGAGTCCTTAAGTTTCTGTTTGCAACATTTATCCCGTACATTATACTCTTATGTGGACTCATCTCTGGGTTAAACTTATTTGCTATTAACATGACAATTTGCATTTGATATCTATATAGTCTTTTCATGAGGGCTAGTTTAAACCATTCCCGCTGTATATTATTATCCTTATAAATGAAATGACTACTATCTTGAAACCCATAGCCTATAATTTGTTGCCAACTTTGCTAATCTTGACAGGGGTCGGGTGTGATGCGAAGGTCGCCCTTGAGATTCACAATTTAAGGGAAGAGAATCCAGAGAGATTTTATAGCCAGGTAACCAAATAAACATGAATTGATAAAAAAAAAATTGACCTCAGGACAACTATATTTCTACATTTCATAATCATGATTTAACCGGCATACATTGCAGAGAAGCTGTATTGTTAATCTTTCGTCCGTGAAACTGATATTTTTTTGGTCTCCGTGTGCAGTTTATGAATAAAGTTCTCTATGCCAGAGAAGGTGCAAGGAGTATAATGGACAGAACATTTGAAGATTTCCCTTGGCAAGTTCGCGTTGAGGTGGATGGTGTTGACATCGAGGTTCCTGAGGTGAGTCAAAGATACCTTACAGATGAACCCGCATGATAATTAATGCTCAAACTTCTATATGCTAAATCTTTGAAGGATGCGGAAGGAATACTTGTTGCAAACATTGGAAGTTACATGGGAGGGGTGGATTTATGGCAGAACGAAGATGAAACATATGAAAACTTTGATCCACAATCTATGCATGACAAGATAGTGGAAGTCGTGAGTATATCTGGAACATGGCACCTTGGAAAGCTTCAGGTTTATAATTGCTATCTATCTTATTTGTATTGTAGAAAAATATGACCAGTAACCTGAAAACTAAGGTCGATTGATTTCTTTTTGTTTTCACATCTTCAGGTCGGGTTGTCTCGTGCGAGAAGGCTAGCTCAGGGGCAATCAGTCAAGATACAACTTTGTGCGCCTTTACCTGTGCAAATTGATGGAGAACCATGGTCTCAGCAACCATGTACCTTAACCATATCTCACCATGGCCAGGTTCTTCACTCAACTACCCTAACTAATATTTTTGATTCAAACTAGTAGTCTCTTGTTTTTCGTGATTCTGCTAAAAGCTCGAAACATTTTTTGGTTAAATTGATATTTATCTCTGGCTTACCTCCACTTGCAACAGGCTTTCATGCTAAAGAGAGCTGCGGAGGAGCCACTGGGTCATGCAGCGGCTATAATCACAGATGTTCTAGAGAATGCAGAAACCAATCAAGTGATAAACGCTTCACAGAAACGAACACTGCTTCAAGAAATGGCTCTACGGCTGACTTAAAACAAGAAAAAAAAAAAGAAAAGAAAAGACAAAAGACAAAAGCCTTCTCTCTTCAACAACCAGCCAACTATCAATGGTTAGTTATTGACTTATTGTCTCATCGTTAGGTGTTTACAAAATGTGTATTTACATATCTCATACCACTGTCTGACAAAGGAAAGTTGGATGGTTTCCGAGATCGAAAGTTGCTGAATGCAAAATGTGGATTATTGTGTGGAATTAGGAAAAAAGGGGAAAAGGAACCAACAAATGGATTCTGGTTCCAAGATTTTTGGGTGTTCTCATAGTGTAGTGTTAAGAGTTACATGAATGAAACTGATACAAAGCTTGTTAAATTATTTCTCTTTTTCTTGTATTTATTATATGTAATGGGTTCTATTTCATATATATATATATATATCAATATAATTTTAAGGAGAATCATGTATGTATGTAGATGAACTCTGTTCTTAGTTTGTGACAACACATTTTCCCTGTCATATCAAATTGATTTTCCGGTCTGAATTTGATTTATTAAATGGGGGACTAGATCGGTTAAATAAGGTTTGTCCGACAATTCCATTGGATCAGTACCATGTGTGCCTGCAGTTGCTTGAGGAAGGGGTTAACGCACAAAAAAAGAAACAAACGAAACTTCTTGTAATTAAAACTTTGATGTTCATGTTTGGCTCTAAAACTTCATAACCTTTGGCTGTTATTAAAAAAGGTCTCTTGTGTAAATTAAAGATTCAAGAGGGTGGTCTCGGGAATTTCTGTAATGATCTAAGATTGAAGACAAGGCAAGTTTAATCCAATAAAGGGGTTTTTTCGAAAGTGAGTCTTTGGTAACTTCAGTAAATCACGAATACCAAAAAGCAATCTTGTAATTTACATTCGAGGAACCCATAGACTCGACAAAATGAGTCTTTGGGCGTAGTGAAACCCGTCGAGGATCGATGGCTGAGTTTTTTACCTACCGGTTTTCGAGTACCAATTTAGGTTTTGTTTTGTGTTTTTTACTTTTCTATTTTTATTTTTGTGTGTGTGTGTTTAAGGTAAAAAAATCAGGCTTCTTTACAATTTCATATATATGACCCGCGAACCTTGACCCTCACCTAAAACCTCAAAACAAATTCGTGAAAAGTTTTGACCAAAAAAAGTCTTTTGGCAATCTAATTCCTTTGAAACTTTCTGGGTTTGGAGATTTTCTTTCCATTATTATATAATCATCGAATCAAAAGAATCTTACTGCGACGATCGACGAAGAATCATCGTGAACACGCAAAAGAAATGGGGTGTTGCGCGAGCAATACAGCTGGAGGTTCTAAGGCTAATCGGATCTCGCGGTGGCGATCTACCGGCATTGTTGGTCTCCGCGACTCCAAATTGAAGGTTAGCTCATCGTACAACCTCTATGGTATTCCATACATAAACCTTTTGTATTCATATCATTTTGTAGAGATTTTTTTATGTTTTGGGTTTGGTCTCTCGTCTACCAAAGAGATAGAAATGATTGAGGGGGTTTCTTAGTTTTATTAGACGAAAAGCACCAAACTTTGTTGGTTTGGTTCAGTTAGGACTGCATCATATCATATGGATTTGGTTAGGGTTTCGTTTGGGGATTTTCTTACACTGTAATTGTCTGATTCTCTCTTGTCCTGTTTTGGTTTTGGTTTTGTTGAGCAGGCGTTTCCTGATGAAGTCATTGAAATGGAGAGAGCAGTGCGAACACTCGATCTAACACATAATAAGATCGGTATGGCTTCTGCTTTCTTTCTCTTTTAATTTCGATTGAAATAGAGTAGTAGTTGTTGACCATGACCTTTGGTGCTATTTGATCATTTCTGCAGCTGATGTACCAGGAGAAATCAGCAAGCTAATCAATATGCAGCGTCTGGTTAGAGAACTTTGACTCTCTGTACAATATTCTTAGATTCATCGTTGCTATGATAGAATGCTTCTTGGTACTTGCTGTGGATTGTGACTCTTTCCCATCATACTGAATTTTGACAGTTGATAGCTGATAATCTAGTTGAGCGCCTTCCGGGGAATCTAGGGAAACTTCAAGCTCTCAAAGTTTTGATGCTTGATGGAAACCGCATCAGCTGTTTGCCTGATGAATGTGAGAAGAATTCTCTTTGTTTACAGCTATTCTTTTCTGTTCATCTAAAAACAATTTGTATCTTTATTAAGGTTATATTTGCTTGCTTGTTGTCCAGTGGGTCAGTTGGTAAGGCTTGAACAACTCTCTATCTCCAGAAATATGCTCATATACTTGCCCGATACTATTGGTAGTTTGCGCAATGTAAGTGACTTCATTTACCAAAGCATATCTCAAGGATCTGCCTGAAATAACTAATTTGCAATTTCTTGTCAAATGCAGCTAGTGCTGTTGAATGTCTCAAATAATAGATTGAAATCCCTTCCGGAATCAGTAGGGAGCTGTGCTTCTTTAGAAGAAATACAGGCTAATGGTATGTTTCTATTTTCACCTTTTAGATTCTGTTTATTTCGAACCTTTATTTGTTTGTTTGCACATTCAGAAACTTTCAAAGTCTTTGGGAATCAAATGATTAGTTTTATTTTCTCTGGTTGTTATTTCGTCAAATCTTAATCGTAATTTGGGATAGCCTTGCAGATAACGTTGTTGAAGAGCTTCCTGCATCACTATGCAATCTGGTTCAGTTGAAGTCGCTTTGTTTAGACAATAATCAAGTGAACCAGGTAGACAATTGAAATTTGATTTGTTCAGTCATCCTTTTACCTTTTTTCTTCCAGCTTGTTGGATCACTGTCTTCTTACTGTGAAATCTATAACACTGATGGTTTTGCAGATTCCAGATGGATTGCTGATACATTGCAAGAGTCTGCAAAATCTTTCTTTGCATAACAATCCCATTTCCATGGATCAGTTTCAGCTGGTAAGTCAATAACCTCGAAGAAAGCTACTTAAAGTTATTCGAATTGTGTCTTGTGACATAACTTAATATATGTACGGATATAGATGGAAGGATACCAAGAATTTGAAGAAAGGAGAAAGAGGAAATTTGATAAGCAAATCGATTCAAATGTGATGATGGGTTCTAAAGGACTTGATGTAGGCGTTGATAAATGATTATTGTCTTCAACGTCTTCTTAGTTCGTAAGTTATTCTGAATGAAAGATAGATCTGGTACTCGACTATTTGTATTGAACCTTCACTGATAATGAAAGATAATGTTTTTTTGCAGGTCAGGTCAGTGAATGATTATGATCGAACGTGTACGAATATTGTTGTAAAACTCTCTTTCTATCTTTCTATTTCAAGATTTAGAATCTCTGCTACAGTAACTCAAATTCTTATGAACACATACACATTCACGCATGTACGTACATATATATATATCAAGGCGTGTATGTGTGTGTATATGTATCTGTGCGTGTGTATACAAACATATAGGCAAAGCGATTCTTACCTTTTGCCTTAATATTGAGGAGATGATTCTACTCTCGAGTCAAAGTGTATCCTATTGCTTTGCTTCTGATCATTTTGGGATTGCTTTGCTTCTCATCATTTTATGTCTTACTATTATTATTTTCCCTTTGAGTACAACTAAAATTTGTAACTACAAAAATTGGATAACACTAAACTCTTTCCAAAAAAATTCGTGTCTCTCAGTTTCCAGCATATGAGATTTGACAACGGAAATAGTCGAAAACAAAAACTCAGAGCTTGGTGCATCCTTGATACACATCCATCAACTCAGGTAACTCCTCTTCGTACTTGATGACGAGCTTCTCCAAGAACACTTGCTCCACCGGAACCAACAATGAAGTCAAGCTCCAATCTTCCTTCATAAGCCCTTTCGAGACCAACACCTTAGTAACCGAACACCTCGGGATAATCCGCTTCTCCAGACTGAAGAACAACACCACAGGACACTGGGCGATAGATCTAGGCGCCAAATTCATCTCATTCACAAAATACTCCATTGTTCTATTGATCTTCCTCTCAGACAACATCATACAATGCGGATGCTTCTTGAAAGCGCACATAATATCAGCTTCCGACCAACCCCATCTCTGGTAAACCTCAAAGCATTTGTCCCAAATCGATTTGTTTCCTTTCCCAGAAAGGGCGTGAATCGCGAGCACAAAGGTTGATTTTTGAGGATTGAAGCCCATCTCTTGAGCTTGCTTAGCAATAGCTTGGAACTCGTGGCTCTTTTGCATCACAGCTTCAGGAAAATGCGTGAGAAGCAGCTGAATACATTTCTGAGGCACACCAGTCTCCGCCATGTAGGTGATGTTGGGTACAAGATTCTTGGTATGATCCTCTAAGAAAACCCAAGTCGTCCTTCGCAACGCCGCCACGATCTTCTCGTCGGAATCAAGCACGCTCTTGAGGAAATTGTAAGAAGGGATAAGCTGATTGACAAGGGATCTAGTCAAAATAGTGGGATCAGAAGCTAAGGTTCGAGCAAGTAAAGATTTCGAGACGCCGATGGAGAGGAAGAAACTGAGTTTGGGGAGGAGGACTGACTCAGCATTGGCTAATAAGAGAACAGGACGTTTCTTAACGAGAGTAGAGATTTGAGCAGCGGTGAACCCATGGTCACGAAGAAGGTTTAGAACTGTGTTGGGTCGTTCCGGAGAATCTAGTAAGAGTTTACGAGCTGCTACGGTGGCGGAATCTGGAGATAATCCACATGAGTCGATAAGGTAGCCGATGGTGAAGGAAAGCTTTTGCTGCTGCTCATCTTTATTAGGGGTTTTGGATGTGAGAGTCGTGAGGGGAGAAGAAGATATTTGAGTCTGCTGGAGAGAGAAGACGAGGATGGGCTTCCGATGATTCTTAGATTGTAAGGTGGTGAAGCTCCCTCTTTGGATTGGTTTGGTGAGGAAGACGACCCTCGCTAGAGAAATGGCTTGAGGTATTGCGACTGCCATGACTAGATTGCTTTACTAATCTCACTCACTCACTATCCGGTATGATTACTACTAGATAATGTTATACTCTAGCACCGTTTGTGTGTGTTATCTTTCACTCTAACACCATTCTATGTTTGGATACCGTTTTTGGCATACTTTTACACTCTAGTAGAAAAATAAAGACAGAATTACCCTCTATTCTAAAACATACATAAATATCTTACTTATTCTCTCTTCTTATTGTTCTCGAGAAATTTTTTTTTTTTTCTCCTTTGTTATTTTCTTTTATCTTTCCTCCTCTTTTTTTCTCAAAATCAAATTATATAAATTATTTCTAAAGAATATCTAAACTTTTTTTGCACAATGTATTATATTTATTTTTCTTTACGTTTTAAGATCCATTTTAATATAGTTTAAGTATATAACTATAGTATACATTATCCAATTTCGGTTATGTATATGGTCAATGTTAAATGGATAGTTGTTTATGGTCACATATATATATTTTTGTTACATTACCAAACCAAAAATATACATATTAAACTTTATCTTTACACTTAATTGTACACATTGAACATCAAAATTAAACCTTAAACCAAAATTATAAAAAGATTGTTGTTTGACTACTTTCTTTAAGCTTGTTCATACATTATACGTATAAGTGTTGTTCTCCCACGAGAACAATTCTCTCTTTAGATTTTAGCGTCATGGATTTGCTTGTTAACTGTGTTTACTAATCCCCATTATAATCTCTTACCATTTCATACAAGTACCATATATTACTGGTTGGCTTCGATATCGTCAATAGTAGCTTATCCACAAAGCGTTGTCCATATGGATGTCATAATTTTATATTTATTTTCATTAAGCTGTTTCACACATTACAGTTTTCTCTTAGGATTTGTGAGTCATGGGTTTGCTTGTTGACAATGATCATATGTTTTTGAGCCCCGTTATGTTCTCTTTGCAAGGTTAATATGTTACCCAAAATACAAAGAGAGAATACGTTACCTCACATGCAACAGGAAGAACGTATCCACAAAAACAAATCCACTATATTGCATACACACGCCTATACCGAGAAAATCAAACTAACATAAGAGTCTTAGATGGTTTCTAACAATAAAAAAAAACAAGCATAGTATCTAAGTCAATTTTAGGTAGTTTTAACATTGTATTGAAGGGAGAAACTAGTATCAACGAAATAATTAGAATATAATAGTATGTATGTTGTTTTCTCATCCCGAGTATCTTTGTGGAAATGTCTGAATTTGATGGTTACGCTTCAGTGGCTTCGATTTAAAGGCTACGATATGGTGAACATAAAAAGTAATCTCGACTATACAAAGTTTCATGGATAACATTAATCAAAATCAAAAAGTAGAATATATCGACAATTGTTTTTACTTGTTCACACATAATACATATGAGCGTTATTCTCACAAGAGAAAAAAATTTTAGAGTCATGAATTTGCTTGTTTGTATATTTGTGAGATTTAAAAAACGTAAGTATTAATGGTCAATTTACTAATATGGAGATTAGTATTAAAAGATATAGAAAATGAAACAAGATTTTATTGTTTTGAGTAAAAAATCGGGAATGTTACATATTAACATCCTATTAAAGACTAATCTTACATATTAACACCCTTTCAAGTTTGTTAACGACTGTGTTGTGAAAGATGAATTCATTCGATATATATTCTTTCTCTTTTCTATGTTGTAGTTAGTCGTCAACAGTACATTATCCACCAAGTGGTGTCCACGTGGATGTCGTGTGTTTTCATTTTTATATATTTTACATATGAAAAATAAAAAGGATTTCTATCACTTTTTTTTGTTCTTGGAATTAGGACTCGAAAGTGAAAGCTTTATAATTGACAACGAGTAAGAAAAATAAAGAAAATAAAATTAAGAACCCAGAAAATAAAATTAAGAAAACAAAAAACCCAGAAAAGTAAACAACGAGTAAGAAGAAGAAGATGAGAAGTAGAAAAGGCGAATAGGGTACTAGGGAAAGTGGCACTAGGGAGATTGTGAGGCACCTTGGGTTTGATCGATCAGTAAAAAAAAGTAAGCTCTTTTAATTTGAAATGGATTGAACATGTTGATTGTAGAAGATGAAGAGGGGATCTAGGGATTTTTCTGGGTGTTGATGGATGAGAGTTTTTTATTATTAATATTATTATTATTATAATTAAAAGATATAAGTAATAAAAAAAAACCAGTTGTTGGTGGGTGCACGTGAACCGTAAAACAATGTTACCAAAAGAGTTGATAAGTTTACATAAGGAGTTTTTTGTCAAATCACAATCCAAAAGGGTGTCTTGGATGGAAACGGTGTCAAAACGCAATAAGAAAGTTGAAGACGGTGTCCTAGTGCTAAATTTCCTTACTACTACTACTAGTTTTGCCCCACCCGAACCGACCTGACCCGACCCAGTCGGATAGACCCGGTTCTCGTTTTTTAAAACAAAGTCATTTTTACTCATCTTGTCTAGTCTGGCATCGTTTCGAAGAAACCGAGAGACAAAAATAATTGGAGGAGGATCATCAAATTCAAAAAATAATCGTTGCTCCGATCAAATTCGTCGTCGGAATCAGAATTGCGTTTCGAGGTAAACGTTTATTTCGCTTGTAATCGTGTGTATATCCGTATATGTATTGACGTTCATCAGTTTTGTTCCTGGGTTGCGATTTTGTTCGTCGTTGTTGAAATTGGCTATATCTCTAAGTGGTATGTATAGCTTTGTTTTCCTTAATTACTTCAAAGGAATCGGGTAGAGGGGCAACAAGGCCTTTCATCTAATTTTAGCGGATAAACTGGACTTGTGAAGTTGACGTTTCTCTACTTTCTCATTTAGCTATTCAAGTGTTTTTTTTTTTTTTAATAGCGTAATTTTGATTTATGTGGGAAAAATAAGCTCAACGAAAGTTTCTAATTTGATTTAGGGATTGGATTTGTGTGAAGTTAGTTGTAATGCAGAAAGTGTTTCTATAGGTTTCTGTTGCTAATGATTCATTGCCTTGGCAGTGGCGATTTCTGTCTTTAAATGTCGAGTTGCTCTGGAAGTTTCTCGGGAAGCAGTAGCTCGGGTTGTAGTTCCAGAAGTGATTGTGAGAACTCGGTTGATGTTGAAGAACTTCTGCAGATTGAGACAAGGCGCAGGGAGGTAAACATATACTTATCTTCGTGAAAGTTTGGAGTCATATATTCATTCTAATGACTCTTAGATCCATGAAGTTTTTTTTTTGTTCTTTGATTTGTTATTGGCAGCTACGGAAAGAGAAGGACATGCTGAGAGAATCGCAGCCTCATAGTATCGAACTAGTCAGAGTAAATTCTACTTCTTGTTTAATATGAACATTTCAGGGAAGCTGTTTTTCTCGTTGTCTCTCTTGCTTGACTTTGTGGACATCATTTTTTCTCTTTACTACAGAGGTTGGAACTCCATACAAAGTCATTATTGGAATCTCGCTTAGAAGACTCTGCAAGAATTCAGACGATGGAGAAAGAGTTGTTGAATTGCTACAAAGAAATTGGTAATTTTCATCTTGAGCTACACAAGTTATATCTTTCTGAACTAGTTAGTCTCAGCATATACTATTCTTGTCCTTGTTAGATTACTTGCGAGATCAGCTCATTTTCAGAAGCAAGGAAGTGAACTATCTCAATGACCATCTGCACGATCTTGAATTCAAATTAGCTGAATCAAGGAATTTGGAAGAAGAAGTTAATTGTTTGAGAGAGGACTTGTGCATGTCTAAATCCGAGCATTTGTTGTTGTTACAAGAACTCGAGAACAAAGAATCAGAGCTACAGAGTTCGTCTCTTTCCATAGAGAAACTGGAGGAGGCAATCTCATCCTTAACATTAGAGTCCTTGTGCGAAATAGAAAGCATGAAGCTTGATATTACAACGTTGGAGCAAGCACTTGTTGATGCAATGCAAATTCAAGAAGAAAGTATCCAAGAAAAAGATCAATTAAAAGGACTCATTGAGGAGTTCCAGTTTCAGTCTCAAAGGGCACAAGATAATGTCAAATGTTTTGAGAAGCAAAATGAAGAGCTGAGGAAGAAATTTACTGCCTCTGAAAAGAGTATCAAAGATTTCTTTCAAAGTATTAAAGAACAATTAGAAAGTGAAGATGAACAGCCTCTCAATGCAGGGTGCTTCTTCGCTGAATTGAGCCATGTGCTTCCCGTGTCCAATGAAGTTCGGTAAGTTCCAGTTTAAGACTTATTTATTACATCATCACATTGAGCTATCCCTGTTCCTAATAATGTTTGTTTTGTGTCTCACAGGAACAGTTTCGATGCAATCATCAAGAAAATAGAACTTTCTCAGAATTTCAATTCGATTGATAAAATGGAGGGTATGGCAAAACAGATACAGCAGCAGGAAGATCTAGTGAAGCAACTCAAAGTACTTTTGACAAACTTTGGAATTCTACTCACTGTCTTTGGTAGAAAATACTGTGGTCCAACTAGTTTACCTGCCATTATGTGGTATGTGCAGGAAGAATTGAAACAGGAGAAACTGAAGGCAAAGGACGAAGCAGAAGACCTTACGCAAGAAATGGCTGAATTAAGGTATAAGATGACATGTTTGCTTGATGAGGAACGCAAACGCCGTGTGTGCATAGAACAAGCATCATTACAAAGAATAGCCGAGCTAGAATCACAGGTAGTAGTTATGTGATTATGCTTCCTTGTCTTTTTGGTTGAGTATGTGGAAATGGAGTCTAACTGCTCATTATTTCCTCTGTTGTGAAGATCAAGAGAGAGACAAACAAGAGATCTTCCACTATGATGCTACCTCTTCCTGAGTTATGAAAATGTCTTTGAGCTTTGGTGTTTAGCTTTATTACACAGTTCACCTTATCTTCACACTTCTGAGTCTCACACATGGATTTTCCATTGAAAGTGGGCGTAGCAACTGCTCAAGTAACTGATAGACGGATTGCGCATTTGGCTGGTGATGAGAAAGCCCAGAGGCTTGAAGTGTGTCGACGCACAAACAAAAGATGATTGGGTTAAGGATATAAATAGCTTTAGATTATTCATGTTTTTCATTTTTCATTTTTCATTTGAGTGTACATAGTTGCTTGGATTGGAACATAAAAATCGAAGTCCGTCGAAAGTATTATTATTGGTTTAGCTCTGATGTCCAGATGAAGAATAGTAATAACTCATCTTTGCGAGTGTATTTTCTTTGATGTGTTTTCACAAAGTCTCAATAATTATCGTATCTGCAAAAATTGAAATTGTTATCCAATAAAAAACAAAACTAAATACGTATTCACATTGGTAAAATTATGTACATACTGTATGTATTATCCCCAAAGTTTTAAATCTAATATCTTTTTCTTTTCTTTTCTTTTAACGTACTTATTATCCAAAGAAAACAAAAATAATTTACCCCTGTTAGATTTATTGTTGTTTATTTTCCAACAATTGTTTAAAAAGAAAATAATAATAATTCGCTAAAGTTTCTCTCGTCTGTTTCCTCTTTAACGGATTTTGAAAATTCGAACTTGTTGAAAATCCTCTTCTTGCTGACTGCTATCAATCTTTTTTTTCCTTTCATCATCGGAACCTCTCAATCTGCTTCTTCTTCTCTGCAATCTCCCAGGTACAATTTTGGGTTTTTTTTTTTGTTTTTTGGTAACCGTCCAAGTCGATTTAGGTCTACGGTCTGATTGATCTTACTAACGGATCATTGGATCAAGAGCGATAGCAGTTAAAAATTTGTGTATCCTTGTTCTTGCTTTTGTTCAACTTCAAAGTTGAGTATAATTTCGAATTATAAATCAATAACAATCTTAGTTTTGGCTTCTCTCATACAATTAGGATTTCGCATCAACCCTACTTTCTATGGCTCCTAAGAAGTTTAGCTTGAACCCTTTTGATGATGATGATGATGATGAAGAGGTTGATAAAAGAGTCACTTCATCGTTGAAGCCACTGGATGCAAAGACCCGGTACAGGAATGATGGAGTTCTGGAGAAGGAGAACCAGACAACGGTTCAGGAGCTTGAGAGCTACGCTCTGTACCAGTCTCATGAAACAACTAAAACCGTACAAGGGTGTTTGAAAGTAGCTGAAGAGATTAGATCTGATTCTTCTAGGACTTTAGTCATGTTGAATGAGCAAGGCGAACAGATCATGAGAACACACCAGAAGACGGTTGACATCGATCATGATCTTTCTCGGGTGAGATATGAGAAAAAGATGAGTGTTGAGCTTTTCTTGGTGTTGATCCTTATTGTATCTTTTTTGTGTTTTGGTTTCAGGGTGAGAAGCTTCTTGGAAGCCTCGGAGGCATTTTTTCAAGGACTTGGAAACCAAAGAAGACTCGTTCCGTAACTGGTCCTGTCATAACTAAAGGTTTACTCACACTCTTCTTTGCCTGATCACTTCTACGCACTGAGTCTTTTGCTTATTACTTTATCTAACTCTTCATTTTTTTTACCGAGCAGGTGATTCCCCCAAGAGAAGAAGAGTTAACAACCATTCTGAGACTAGGGAAAAGCTGGGGCTGAACCATTTACCCAAACCACAGTCAAGAACCCGTGATACGCTCCCCGAATCAGCTGATGCTTATCAGAAAATAGAGGTTTGGATTCTCTCCCTTACCTTCTTGGGTTGCAAACTTTGTCTTTTTGGTTTACCAAGATTCTAAGAATCATGCTGTGTGAACAGATGGAGAGAGCAAAACAAGATGAAGGCCTTTCAGATTTGAGCGACCTTCTTGGCGAGCTGAAGAATATGGCATTGGACATGGGAACGGAAATCCAAAGGTTGTCTCTCATATTTTCTATCAACTCTCTCTCTATACATTCTCTGAGAGTTTCCTCATTTCTTCCTTGATAAAACTGGTTTAAAATTGCAAACTGCAGGCAAAACCATGGACTGGATCATCTTCATGACGATGTTGAAGAGCTTAACTACAGAGTCAACCAATCAAACCAACGGGCTCGCCGTTTACTCCGGAAGTAAAAGTAGCCAGAACTCTATTCATAACCAAGCTCGTCAGCTCCTCCATTCTTCTGATGGATTTGTTGCTTTAAAGTCAAACATAGATTTCAATATTTTAGTTCTGATCTTAGTGAAGTTGAAACATTTTAACTACTGCAGAATACTGTGAGAGTAAACAAGCAAAGACAGTAGTTAAAATATGTGATTCCAAAGCTTCAAGTCTGAAATAGGCAACAACTTGAGTTTTGTGTCTGGAAATATGAATAGGATCAGGAGGAAGAAGAAGAAACAAGAGACATGAACTCTTGATCTGATTCCAAAGCTTCCATAAACTCCGGAAGTAGACACACTTCCAAATCTATGCTTGCTCCTCCTTCTCTTCCTGGATAAGCTGAAACCTTCCCGTCATACTTACCGCCATAACCGCTTCTAACTGCAACCGCTTTTCCCATCCCAAACTCGCATCCATACTTGTTAAACCTTGGAGAGCTTCCCATGTGAACAATGTTCAAACTGGACATTCGATACTCTTCCAACGTTATATGATACTTCAACAATCTATCTAATTCGTAAGTGATCTTTTCGATAGTGTGTTCGGATACAGCTTGATGCAGCTTCAAAGCAGCACATCCAAAGTTATTCTCCAATAAATCACCAATCGTCGTAGTCGTTTTCACATGAGAAACGTAAACCCCAAAGTGATTCGGTGGCAGTGGTGGATTCATTCTTGATCTATTGCCAGCAGCAACCCTGCAAGTAGTTTCTTGATCGTTTGGTAGTTTTCTTGCTCTTGTAATGCTTCTCCATATGAATGCGGTTAGCGACTGAAAAGAAGAGATCTCTGTCGTTCCACATTCTTGATTCGCCTTTGATTTCAGCCACCTCACTGTCTCTGATGAGAAATGGAACATCCTCTCCTTCAAAACCGGAGTTTCATAAAAACTAATGGACTCATCAGGTTCACTGAAGGGAAGGCTGTACATTGGACCGGACACATGACGAAAGATTGGAGGATTCTTGAGACAGAGCAATTTGTTGTTGTTGTTGTTATCAGTGGTGTCTTCTTGTGAATTGAAGATATCGGAAAAAGAGTTGAAAAACTGCCAGAAGGAACTTCCATCTCCAATCGAATGATTCATTGACAATCCTATAAACACTCCATCTACCAATTCTGTTACCTATACATCCGGAAAAGAAAAAAAGATTCAGACTTAGAATCCGACAAGACACTACTACTATAAACCATTAGTATTTTGTTACTACAAATCTGTTCATGTATATGAATAATATGATTGGGAGATACAAGAATGAGTCAAATGTACCTTGACTGATAAGAGACTCATGGTGTAACCATCGCGGTTCACGGCTTTGTGATGATCAAAGAAAGAATGAACAGCCAAAGGAACATACTTGGACCCAACAATGTCTGAGACACTTAGATCTGATTCAGCATGGATGAATCCAGCACCAGGACTGTTATTGCAATCCACAAACACTGAGTGAGATGTTTGACTTTCGGATTTCAAAGACGAGAGGCGACCAGAGAGCATATAGAAATGGACAAGTGTCGTGGCAAGCGAGTCTTTGAGCTTCTCTAGTAAAGTCTGCATGAAGTCTTCTTTTGCATCATCGCCAGATTCAGGAAACGATGGTTTGAGAAAGAGAAGACCCTTTTGGATGTAATGGATTGTGAGAACGAAATGATCCAATGGTGCAAAATGGTATGGCTCTTTCCATTTTTCAGGGAGGGTCTTGGGTTTCACGAAGCATTTTGATATGATCTTTACTTCCGATGAAGATGATGAAGAAGAAGAGGAACAAGGAGAAGACATTTTTTTTATTTTTTTCTTTCTCAAGATAATATTTTGCTTCTTTTGGCTTTTCCAATGTTTCTTTCGTTTGCTTACCTTTTTAAAAAATTTTCTTACTACCTTTATATAACAATCCAAAAATATGTTTAAAAAAAAAAAAAAAAAATGGGAATAGAATAAGTGAATAACTATAGATAGATATCATCATCCATGATGTCATCATATCCAATATGCATTATTATTTGATGTGCTGGTCATCAGTCATCAATGATGTGATCGTATATATGCTCTTTGTTCTAACTGAACAACATTAAGTTTTATTTAGTTTTGTATTAATCTTGTAATCAAATAATAACACGCATAAAATGAAATGAATGATTTCAACCCAAGTTTCAGTAAACACTCTTCCCACCGTGAAGCAAATCCTGGAAGCCCCCATATATGCATCTCTCTCAAGAAGAAGAAGAAGAAGGAGAGACTAGGGACATGAACTCTTGGTCTGATTCCAAAGCTTCCATAAACTCTGGGACAAGACTTACTTCCAAATCTATGCTTGCTCCTCCTTCTCTTCCCGGATAAGCTGATATCTTCCCATCAAACTTACAGCCATAACCGCTTCTAACCGCAACCGCTTTTCCCATCCCAAAACTCGCATTCATACATCTTAAACCGCGGTGAGCTTCCAACGTGAACAACCATCGCTCCCACAAGTGTTTCCAAATGGAAAATAAAAGATGATTTCACATCAGATGATCCCCTCACTAGTGTTCCCGCTCACAGCTTGATGCATTTTCAAAGCGGCCCATCCTAAATCATTTTTCCAGCAGTTCACCTGATGTCACGGTCGTCGTCGACCTTATAGCTGAAATACAGTTACCAAAATAGCTCCAAGACAATGGTGGATCCAGTTTCGTTCTATTGTTAGCGGAAAAACTGCAACGAGTTTCTTGATCGTTACTTGCATCTTTATATGAATGCGGTTAAAGCTTGAAAAGTGGAGACTATTGGTGTTCCCCCTTCTTGATTTGCCTTTGATTTCAATGATCCTATTTCAATGATCCTACACGGTAGGTCCTTGAAACAGTTGAATATATTTGAAATAGAAATTTGTACCATTTATTACCATCAATAGATACAATTACCAAAAGAATTACATCTTTTACTTTTCTTTTTAATACTTTTTTTTTTCTCAATAAGTAAAAAGAGAGAAAGAGCCATTCATTTCATGAACAAGCAGAAGCATCAAAATTAGGCAACACAATGAACGCCATCGACAACGGCAAGACGTTAATCGGAGAGTTCACACCACGGATGACCGGTTCAAGGCTCGGGATATCTCCTGTTGCTGTCGGTTTTAACGGTTTACCATTCAACATCATTGTTTTACTCCGCAACTCACGGTTTTCTGGTGTCAGATGATACTCTTCTCTGTTTAAATACCCATCAGAAGCTTTGCTTCCAATCCAAGAAAATGGTTTTTTCAAAGTATCTAACAATGACTTCTTCTTCTTTGGTTCCGCGTTCAAAACCACATTTATGCCATTGCTGACACTAACTGTAAAATCTGATTGATTGCTTAGATTTATCAGAAGCAATGTGACACCCGCCTATAACCAAGAAAAAAACCAAAGCATTTGAAGCAAATTATAACCAAAAACTAACATTCGGAAACCGAGATTTAAAAGATGAAATGAGCAACTCACTCTTCCTTTTGAACAATGTGCATAAACCCGTAGCTGCGGTGGTCCATCTGTATGAACCGCAAGGACCCCTTTGCCCATTAAACGATGCCAAAGCAGTGCACTGTCCCAATCAATAAATAAAAATTCACACAAAAAAAATCAGATAAAACTTCATGATCAAATCAACCATAACCTAAAACTTAAGAGGCCGGATTTGGTTAGGGACTCTCACCTATAGTAATCCGGATTTGGAACAAACGTTCCTTTTTCGAGCAAGCCGTAAAACCCTCCAACCAGAGTCTGTCTGCAGTAAACTTTAGTGTTGAGTCTTGACGACATTCCAAGCTGATCTAGATACCTTAATGAACATTAGATCCAAAGAAGCTTCTTTTAGTTCATTCTTGGGGTAATAGGAAAGCCAGGGGAAAAAATCAAGAATCGGTTGTTTTACCAGAAGCTATCTATGAATGTATCTGAAACATGACGGCCACCACTATTGTAAGCTCCACCAGATTCTCCAACCCAAGGAGAAGCCCACGGTCCATGTTCTTGAATTGTCTGGTTCACGTCCTTGAATGTTTCAGATACCTTACTTAAGAAACTCGGATCCATTATCTTCTTCACCAGCGCAGGATCATTTCCTGAAAGATTCAAACAGAGAAGGCAGAGAAATCCTCAGAAAACTATCTACACACAGTAATAGATTTTGAAGCAATGGCTTTGAGTTGATTTCATTTATCTTCTATCAAACCATACCTGAACCAAGATTGTACATATGATGAGTCACAACGTCAATAACACCGGGACCAGAGATTTGAAGAAGTTTGGTGTACCATTGTTTTTCATAGAATCCTCCAGGAGCCACAAGTTTAGGCTTGGTTAACCGGGAATCTTTGTAAACTTTGTTGATTACATCTTTAAGTACAATCATGTCTTTCCCGTAAAGTTCTGCGCTCACACTCGCACCAACCCCACTTCCCGCGAGCTCGTTTCCTAAACCGAGTACAAGGAAAGCTGAGAAAAAAAAAACTGAGTAAAAGAAGGCGACACTTCAAAAGTTTAATTGTTACCGAATTCCCAAGAATCAATAGCGTAACCCTTTGAGACTGTGTAGTTTATGAAATCTTGAGTGTTAACGTGATCCCACGCCCCACCCCACGCCTTTCCGCGCAGTTTGTGCCTCCCACGCAAAGCGTTTAAACCAAAAGTCACTACAGCTCTACGCAACAGAAAGAAGAAAAACACAACTAACTCAAGATTCTTCTAAAGAGAAGAATGTGAACCTTAATGAAACTAGACCAAAACCAAAGGCTTACCCGGTTGCAGTTAGGAAACTGTTGAGCTCGTCCCATCGCTTCATATGCAAGCATCCTTTAGAGAACCCAAACAAACCGCTGTTCATTTTCCCGAATGGACGGCAAGGAGTTTTGAGATTTCCTACGTCGTAAGTAACTTGATCTTGCAGTGAACCGCCAATTCTTATCCTCAACGGCTTGAAAGCTAAACAAATACAAATACCAAAATCCCTGGAAGTTTCAGAAATCAACAACACACAAAGCAAAGGCATTAACATTTTTGGTCCATGAGGTACAAACCTTTAATAGCTTTAGAAAGAAGGGGTCGAGTTAAGTCCTGTAAAACATTCAGAAAAATAAGAAAATTTCAATTGCAACTGCAGACATTATGAAGAGACTAATAGTAATTAAAGACCGAAAGGTGAATCCTTTTCTCTAATTTTGCTATTACCATGTTGATAACTGAAGAGTATCCCCAAGGACATTGTTCATAGTTGCACTTGTCATGTGGCCACCAGTCCAATGTCGCACAGACAAAGTTCTCGTCGGTCTCAGAGACTCGACGAGCTCCTTCAACAACGATCGATACACGCTTCATTTCTTGAGCCATGGTTGTCTCTGGAACTAGAAGAAGACAACTCAAGATGAAAAATAAACAAACTCTGAAGGCCATTGTATTGTTTTTTAGCTTCACCATCCAAAGCTCTCAACTTTAGTTTCTAGCTTTCCTCCTGTAAAAAAAAAAAACTGAACTTTTCTAATAAGCCAAACCAAGAAGAAGGAAAGACTAAAAACATTAGAAATATAAAAAACAGAACTTAACACTCTGCAATTGTCAGAAAACAAGCAAGTGATCACAACAGAGAGAGGCTTGCATGTGAAAAAATTATAGAGAAAGGAATAAACTTTATTATGTATTTTATCTATATGATAATAACCAGAGAGTTATGTGTAAAGTACTAAATTAACCCATTCAAGAAGAAGGAAGGAAAAAAAAAGAACCTTTTTTTTGCTGACAACATGGAAAAAGGCTAACCTCTGAAATTTCCAGAACAAGGAAGTGATTACAGAGAAAGGCTTGCGTCTGGAAAAGGTTTATAACATGAAAAAAAAAGAGTAATATAGGTTTTACAATTCAATTAGCTTATCTACTTAAACTTAATAATAATTAATAAAGTAATTAATTAGTCATTGACACATGCTCATAACCAATAGATGAGCATCGGGTTTAATGTCCGACCAGGATGAAAAATTAAAAAATGGAAAAGAAAATTGGACAGGAGTCAAAAGAAGGATGACGATGATGACAACCGATTCAAAATTTCTCAAGTAATGATAATGAAAAAATCTCTCTTTACAGTTCTTAATTAATATATATATGGATTAAAAATCAACTCATAAACATAAAAGTAATTGTCGGAGATCGAAACTCGAAACTCAAAAACTCTGGGACTGGGAACTAAAAGTGAAAAAAAAAAAGCTAAAACGGGATCATCAGATAGAGATAAAAAGAAGCGAAGAACTGACCTGAGAATCCAGCTTCAATGGAGAAAATCTGACTCTGAAGCAAAAAAAAAGGGCAGCTGTAAGAATCTGGACTTTGGATATAGAGTTGATTATGTGATTGTTGTTGAGCCAATGAGCCTTAGATGATACACACTTTACATGAGAACAATCTGATGGGGTAGGTGATCTTAGTTTGTCGGCTTTCCCTAAATTTCACTTGCTCGATATACTAATTAATATTCTTCTTTCCAAAATTTTGTGTTTTGGTTATTTGGTAATATATATATATATATATATTTATGATGATGGAGTTTGGTGCAACTTGATGAGTCTTAAACCTCCTTCTCTCTTGAAACATGAGCTTTCTACCACTTTAACTTATTTTTTTTTCTCTCGTTAGAATTGATGTTGGTTAACAACAGAATACAAAACGAGTTTAAGCATCTCTTCGCAAACAAGTAAGATCGAATTTGGTGGACAAATATATTTAATTAAAATAAAAACAAATCTGTTGCTATTCTTTTGCCTTTTTTGCTTTTTACTTTTCCCCTCTTTTTTACTTACTAATCGAGTTTTTATTTATAAAACTATTTGTACATTCACAATTCAAAACCAATAAAACTTATTAACTACGACAGTATTAGGCAATCTGGAAAACTTCCAAGTCATTAAAGTGTATGTTGTTTTGGTTTCATCTCGTGACTTTTCAAATACAAATTCAAAAATCTACAAAAAAGAAAGTCACTTTCAACTATTCTACTTTAGAAAAAATTCCAAGCACAAGTTGCGTATAAACCAAATAAATATCTTAAATCTAGGGAACATTACATAAACAGGAGTAGATCTTAAAGAGAATATTTACTATTTGTTTGCTACTAAAATAACTAAAAAGGGAAAATCCAGATTAGAAAAATAACACAATTAAAAAAAAAAAAAAAAAGGATAGATCGCAAAGAAAGAAAAAACAAGTGGTGTCAGAAAGAAAGAAAGAAAGAAGAATTTGGTAAAGGAATGGTAACAACTGGTGGAAGCTAGGGGGGAGGTGGTTCGAGTCGGTGCATATGTTTGTCACTCCAAGACATGTATTTTGTTTGAGTCAGTATCATTTGCCATGTGTCATGCTTTTATCAGAATCAACCAGCTGTATAACATATCTATCCCTTTAAACCTTTACTCACTCTCATATTTAAGAGATTGTAAAATGAGATTTGTCACTTTTCAAGTTTCAAATTGCTATACTGTTTTGTTTCTTATTTTTTTTTTTTTTTTTTTGGTCACCATATTGTTTTGTTTCTTATTTAATGGTTTTAAAGACATTTTATTTTTAGTGGTTATCAGTTGTTATTTTGACCAACCTACTTATTATATATCTAAAGTATTTCTCAATGTTATTATCCAAGTTTTGCTAATATTCTCTAACCATTTTTTTAATTTACGGGCCACGCAATATAGAAAAAGTCTTTTGGGGAATTGTTTGGTAAGCTACTTTTCTATTTAGGATGACCACATAATATACATTTTTTTTGTCAATTTCTTTTTTTCTCTCTCTAGAATCAGCAACTGGAAATTAAAAGTTTGGGCCTTTGGTCATATAAGGCCTAAGCTTTCTCGTAATTGGGCTTTTGAAAAACGCATCTTGGATAATTAGTTTTGAATGATCGAGTCGACTGATGGTCTTTGTTTTTTTGATAGGGCTTGGCATAAGCACATTATTATAATTTGGTTTTACATTTGATCGAAATAATTTCTTACGGCCATCTGAATTTTCATTGTAACATGCTAATTTTTTTTTTTTTCCGAAACTCCCATCAAATAATCCTCATTTTTCAGTGTGGTTTAATTTAGGTGTATACACTTTAGTACTTTACTCACACATAAAAGTAGTGTTATTTGGATTGTATATAAAAATTATTGGCACGAATTATTAGAAATAATTTTAGAGCATCTCTGTTCTTTTTTTGGGAGTGAGCAACTTCAGCAATCTAGATCTTATCTTTTTTCTGGTTCAATATGAATAAATATATAAAATCAAAAGAATCCAAAGTCGGTCCATCGCGGAAAGCATCATTCCCTTAGAAAAATACAAAAAGACCTTCTCCGATCCCTCCCTCCCTCAAAACCTATTTTTGCTTTTAATATTTAAACTTATACCTTATTATATGTATGGGACTACTATGAGATTTATACGATAACTTAGAGATTGTTTTGTTACCATAATAATACTTTTTGAGTTCAATTCATTCGTATACTTATAAATCTTTAAACATGTATGACTGATTAATTAATGTGTTGTTGTTATTCACTTTGATTCATTTACATAAATCTTATTTGTCGTCTATATTAATAATATTTTTCCAAAACTGAAACTTTTAGAAAAAGAAAAACAAATAAAAAAAAAGGGATGTCAAAAGATTCTCATCTTCCCTCTCTTTCCCTAAATTAAAGATTTGTTGACCTCATTTTTTCGTCTCCTTCTTCTAAATATCAAATCTAACTTTCTATCTGTCTTGTTTTTTTTTTTTTCTTTCCTTTTCTTCTGAAAATCTCTAATCACTCTTCAGTTTTCAAAGAGGTGGGTGATCTTAAAGGTATCATCTTTTCATTTTGTATCTCACATTTTTCATTACAGTTGACTTCTTCTTCGTTGTAATATTCTTTGAAACTGTGTTACTCTACTGTTACTACTCCGTTCTTGATCAGAACTTTGAGATCATAAACCAAATCTGCCTCTTTTTTTTGTTCTGTTTGTGTTCATCGGTTTAGATATTGAACTGAGTCATGATTAAATTTCGATTTTTTGTTGTTGTTGGGTGTTTGATGTGATTGCTTATTTATTGATGGTGGAACCAAAGATTCAATTTTTGGTAGACTTTTCATTTTCTATTACGTTTTCAACGTGGTTCCAAATCACAGAAACTAGGATCGATATACACTGATCAAATCAATATATGTGTCTTGTTTAAATGATTCTGAAGTTTCTCAAAATTTCGGAGATTTTGATGAATCTGTACATCTTTGTGTTTTCTGCAGTTGTTGTAATAAGTTGCAATGTCTGAGGAGAATATTTCACAAGTTGATGACAAGTGTTGTTTGGATGATGCAAACCCCTTGGAGATCTCTGTGGAAACTATCCCTCTTATGGACGAGGAAGTCCAAGGAGATGATGTTCTGCTTCCAGCTGCAGAGACCAATCACGTGAATTTGAGACGGTGCTCGACTGGAGCATTGGATAAACGAGCAGGCAAACCTCAGATTCAAACCCGTTACCGTGGGAACCAGACGAGTTCGACTCATGATCTTTGTAAGCATGGGAAGAGGCGTGAGGAGGATTTGGTCAAGCCATGGAAGTTGGTTCAGAAAAAGAATGTTGAAAGTGGAGATTTGGGGAAAGGTGAGCCTTTGAGGAAGTCGTTGGGAAATGTTTTTAAATCGGACAAGTCACCATTGCGGGTTGCAAAGAAAGAAGCTGCTAGTGATGAGGTTGTCAAATCTTGTGATGGTCTTCACGTTAAAAGGAGTGAAACCAAGAGTACTAGTCCAAATGTTTCAGCTGTTGTAAGAATGGTCAAGAAGACTAATCTTGATGCTAAGAAGGTTTCAAAGATCAGCGACAACAAGAGTTCTAAAGTGGATCTTTCGAAGAACTTGAAGAACAAAGAGAAGACAGAGATTGATAAACAGGATAGATGTGATGATTCATTGGAGAAGACAGAGATTGATAAACCGGATAGATGTGATGATTTAATGGAGAAGACAAATCTTGATGCTAAGAAAGTTTCAAGAATTGGCGAGATCAAGAGTTCTAAAGAAAATCTTTTGAAGAATCTGAAGAATAAAGAAAAGACGAAGACTGCTGAACCAGTTAGATGTGATGATGTAATGAAGAAGACAATTCCTGATGTTAAGAAGGTTTCAAGGATAAGTGAGATCAAGAGTTCTAAAGAGGATCTTTCGAAGAATCTGAAGAACAAAGAGAAGACGAAAATTGATGAACCAGTTAGAGTTGATGATGCAGTGGAGAAGACATTGTATGTTGTTGAATCAAGTATTGAGAAGAAGAAGAAGAGCATCACAAGTTTTAAGAGTGAGATTCAGCAATCTGCTGAGAAGAAAATCTTAAGAAGCACCGAAAAGAAAAGTCTTAGCCTATCACCGTCTTTGTCCCCATCCTCGGAGGAGGTTAAAAAATCACCGGTTACGAAATCAGATCCTAAGCCAACAAGGCAGACTACTTCCAGGTCCAAGACTGGATTGTCTGTGAAGAAAGAAACTGGTTCTGCAAATCTTGTTACTAATCCGACGACCGAAAGCAAGATTATTAGGCCGAAGAGGATTGGTTTAAAGGTTACTCCTCCTCCTCCTGCAACGAAGCAGCTGACAAGTTTCAAGAAAGGGAAAATTCTTGAATCAAAACCAGATGATTCCACTGCGACATCGATCAGATTCAAAAAGAGAATTGTTCAAGAACCAAAACTCAGAAGTGATGTAAACAAGAAGAAGAAGAACATGAAAGATAAAAGAGAAGGTATTGGGAAGATTAATGGCGAAGGTAAAAGAGAGAAGGTTGTATTGAGGCATAGAAAAGTGGAAGTGAAGAAGAAGTTGCAGACTCTTTTCAATAATGTGATTGAAGAGACTGTGAATAAGCTTGAAGAAGTGAGGAAGAGTAAGGTTAAAGCACTGGTCGGTGCTTTTGAAACTGTAATCTCACTTCAAGATAACGACAGAGCATCTCAGAAGAAGAAGACTCAGAGCAAACCCACATCTTCACAAGCTGTTGAAGGCTAGTCTTTGAGCTTTAAAATACAATATTTGAGTTAAAAAAACAGAGAAGTTGTGAATTTGTGATACAGAAACGTTGTTCATGAATCTTTCTTGTGATGTAAAATTTTTAAAGAAATCATATATTTTCCAATACCTGTTTCTTAAAATAGATTGTGGATGACTTGAGTTCAAAATTTGTCTACTGTGGAACATCTGTAGTAATATTGGAATCCGGTTTGATTGGTTTTTTTCTGTTGTTGTACCAAACCGGGTTTAAATCTAATTTACACGTGTGGAGTCGACACGTGTGATTTCTTCGTACCCGCTCATCTCTTGTTTCAATGCTCTTTAGTCTTTACGTTTCAAATTTCAAACGCCTTCTCTTCACTTGACACAGACACAAGAGGACACAACTCCACTCTCAGATTCAATCAATGGAGGTTTCAGAAGAGCAAAGGCGAAGAGAAGAAGCGAATCGATTAGTGTTGTTTGGGGAGAAACGTGAGCCTTCGTTTGATTCTTCAGGAAACTCACAGCGACAACAAGATTTCAGGTTAGCTAAATGTCGAAAGCTCGATGTTGGTAACGATGTCAGATTTCAAGAACGGAATCGGAGTTACGAATCAGAATCAGGATTGAGTGCAAGTGTTCAGGAAAAGTTCCGGGTCAGGCTTGAGATCTGTTCTCCTGATTCGTTTTCGGTGACGCCGCTTCAATTGCAAGGGTTTCGATGCCCTGAAGAGAAAGAGTGCCTTCGTCAATTGAGAGAGATTCTATCTAGTGTAAGTTCTTCGCAAAGCTTTTATTTTGTTAAAGGGTGACTAAAAGTAGAAGAGAAAGTTTTAAGAAGGGGATTTTTTTGAGTCTTCGATTTTTAGGGTTTTTGATATTTACTTGAAGATGAGTGCTGTGTTCTTATTGTTTTCTAATTGGTTTTATACTTTTAGGCGATTCCTTCACACTACACTCAAAATGAAGATGGAGGAAAAGCTGGGATTTATAAGATCAGAGACTACAGTATGGTCTCTGGATGTCTTAAAAGGTCTAAGAGCGTTGAAGTTGAATATATACCTTGGAAAACTTTGGCTGTTGTTGAGAAACTTTCCCAGTCATCCTTTTCTGGGAAATGGCAACCTTGTATACCTGAACATTTTACGGAGGAGAAGGTTGAAGAACTGATTGAAACCCTGCCAAGTAAATTGGTGAATGCCCTTTTGCCTTTCCAACTTGATGGTCTAAGATTTGGTTTGCGCAGAGGTGGCAGGTGTCTTATAGCAGATGAAATGGGGCTTGGCAAGACACTTCAGGTAATATATTTGGTATTCTGAAGAAGTTTTAAAGTTTTCACTAGTTTGGTAAAGTGGTTAATCTGAGTGATTAATCTTGTGTCAGGCCATTGCCATTGCTGGTTGCTTGATAAGTGAGGGTTCCATACTTGTTGTCTGTCCAGCTGTTTTGCGTTACTCATGGGCAGAAGAATTGGAACGCTGGTTACCATTTTGTTTGCCTTGTGACATACATCTCGGTAAAAGTCTCTACTGAACTACAATATAGCAATCTCTGTCACTAATTTTATTTTTCTCCACTGGAGCACTAAAAAGAAAGCTTAACTCAGTTTTTAGAGTTGTGTTAATTGGCTTCTTGTCGAATCGAGTTGTGTTTGATGAACCTTTTTGGTTTCAGTTTTCGGTCACCAAAATAATCCTGCCTACTTACCAAGATGGCCAAAAGTTGTGGTTATCTCATACAAGATGCTTCAGCATCTCCGGACGACCATGCTTGAGCGAGAATGGGCCCTCTTAATAGTAGATGAATCTCATCATCTACGATGTTCGAAAAAGAAGTCAGATACACCTGAGGTATCTAAGACCTTGTGTTCATCATTAATGTGATTTATAAGCATGCCTTCCTGTGTCCTTTTTCTCCTATGATTTCCTAGTTGCTTTTGGTTACCTTTAACTAACATTGCGATGATCAGTGACACTTTCTCTAAACTTCAATGAAAATCCTTATATCTGAGTGGCGTTCATAACACTTTCGGTTATGCTTTGCAGATAAAGACGGTCCTTGATGTTGCTGAAAAGGTTAAGCATATAGTACTGTTATCAGGAACTCCTTCTTTATCGAGGTTGTGGAAATTTGACTCTGTGTCAGATCAATATCTTCTTTTTACTTCGAATTTGTAATTTATCCTTAAATTTGTTTCCTAGGTGACCACAGGCCCTTCGACATCTTCCATCAGATAAATATGCTATGGCAAGTCATTTATAAACTTTGACATAATCTTTTGGATTTGCACTACATCCCTTTTCTAACACTGATTCTGTCACCAGGCCTGGTCTGCTGGGAAAGGACAAGTATGAGTTTGCGAAAACCTATTGTGAAGTTGGGATTGTCAGAGGGATGCAAGGGAAAATTTTCCAGGTAATTATGGACTTGTGATAGCCTGTTGTGCGATCACGATTCTATATTATATGTGCAGAATACTCATATTGCATGATAAGTGGTTCCCCATAGAGGATGTTGCGATCATACTTCATTTTATTTCTTTTCAGTTGCTTCCTTACTCATATGAACTGTGGTTCCCTTGTCTTTTATTTGTTAATGTTGCGAGATGGTAATAAATTTTTTGGTTCGACGATTCAGGATTTTTCAAAGGGTACTCGCTTACTGGAATTAAACATACTACTAAACCAAACAGTGATGGTAAATCCTTGTTCTTCTATTTAAATTTGGCATTAATGGTTCAGATAGTACCAAGTGTGTCTGATACCTTTTAAATGTTTATGTTACATCTTATAGTATTTCTAGTTTTCTAGATAATTATGAAGACAATTTTAGTTTGAAATTTTGGATGAAAACATTTCTATGTTCCAACATTACAGTTCAGTTAACTATCAGTTTATTTTTGGCAATGATATCACTGATATGTTAGGCCAATTTAAGTTTCATGTATTGTGTTATGAGGTGGTGGAGAACTATCTGATGTGAAATCCCTTTTTGTTTGTTACAGATAAGACGATTGAAGCAGCATGTGTTAACACAGTTACCCCCAAAACGTAGGCAAATCGTAACCATACTGCTAAAGAAGTCTGATATAGCTTTAGCAATAGCTGTTGTCAGGGAGGCTAATCAAAAAGGTGGCGCTATAGCAGAAACCACAGAGACCTCACATGAACCTAAAGGTATGTGACATGTTTTATACCAACCTAATTATGATGTTGAATTGTTTTTTTATTATCAGTTTTAAGACATTTTGATTTAGTTAATCACTGTGGTCCATATAGATCAAAATTCTCGTGGATCAAATGAAGCTGGACATGTAAACGCAGAGAAATTTGATGTCCCTGAGAGTATGTATTGACTATTTTCTTTCCATAGGGGTCAAGGAGATAATTCTGCATATATTTGCACTCTTTCTCATTTTTCCTTTTGTTGTGCTTTAGCTGACAAAGAGAATCAACTATGTGGGAAACTTTCGTATCAACAACTTGGCATTGCAAAGCTTTCTGCCTTTCGTGAATGGTTATCCCTGCATCCACTTCTATCAGGATTGGATTATACCCCAGAAGAAATTGATGGATACACAAGTTCAACTAAAATGGTCATTTTTGCACATCACCACAAGGTTCTGGATGGAATTCAGGTTAGTATGCTTTAATGTCATCATTAATTCATTAAAATATTCAAAACTGTATATCTGCCTGCTAGTTAAACTTGTAATTATAACAATGCAGCTCCTTTAAACATATTATGAGGAAGTAGTTTCAGTTTCTGTTGAAATTTTACTTGTGACTATTGCTTTTCAGGAATTTATATGTGATAAAGGGATTGGTTTCGTCCGCATTGATGGGATGACATTGCCAAGAGATAGACAATTGGCTGTACAGTCATTTCAGTTTTCTAGTGAGGTATGCACAATATGTCCTATATGTCTATTTACTCTTGACTTGATTGTGCTTGCTGGGATGTGTGGTATTTTACCTATGCTATGGCCTCCCTCCCTCCAGGTAAAAGTGGCAATAATTGGCGTAGAAGCTGGAGGAGTTGGACTTGATTTTTCAGCAGCACAAAATGTTGTGTTTGTTGAGTTGCCTAAAACACCGTCACTGTTGCTTCAGGTATATTTCGAGTTCTGCTCTTTTTGTACTCTTAACTCTTTGTTCTCGTTCCTAAACCTATTCTGCAAACTGTGGTAAGGCTGCTAGATGCATAATCAATTGATTGCATTTTGAAGGCTGAGGATAGAGCACATAGGCGAGGTCAAACAAGTGCAGTCAATGTTTACATCATCTGCGCAAAGGTAACCCCGTTTGCTGCTATGATATTAGTCACTTAAAGTTTGTCTTATCCATTATACTTAAATAGCTACTGTTGATGTAACAGGATACTATGGACGAGTTAACTTGGCAAAATCTGAACAAGAAGTTGCACCGTATATCATCTACTACTGATGGAAAATATGATGGGAAGACCGAAATTGAAGTACCTCCCAAAATCTCTGCTCTTTTTCTCAATTCTCAGTAAACTGCTGTCCTTCCTTTTGATGTTAACAACACATAGAGGTTTATTCATATGTCATAGGGTCAATTTTATTCATATGACAAGATAAAAATTTATGTCTGGGCAGATTGAAAGAGCATATATTTTCAAGCCTGCTGAAGAAAGCAGTGAAATAGATGTTCTTGAAGGGGAACCATCAAAAGCTTGTACTGTAGTAGCTGATAAGATTGTTGAAAGCTGTGACGATTTGGGACCTGGAACAGATGAATCAAATACTATTGATCTTAAGGTTTATCTCTTGACTTGCATTGATCAAACAAATTGGACCTCTGTGACCTCGGAATTTATTTGAAATATACCATCAATTATACAAGCCAAATGTCTGCTTGATTATGGAACTCAGATGTTCACTCGTTTTGGCTGAATGCTTTTTTTTTTTTGTTTTTGGCCTAGCAGGACGACATGATTTCTGATTTGGATATATTAGAAGTTTTTCCTTTTGTTGAAAATGGTTCCAGCTCTGAAATGAGGTCTTCTGGCACCATTTCTTCTCCTATGTTAGACCAGGAAAACCAAGAAAATTTTCAGCCTAAAAATGTATGTACTTAAATCATAGGAAAGGTCTATTTTTCTTCGCTAACATGTTCTAA